TTAAAAAAAAAAAAGTCAGAGATCAAATAAAAAGATCTGAGAATTTAACTTGACCAAAAACTCATGAGCCAAAAATGTGATGTGACTGTTTAAAGAAAACTAATACAGTACTAGTCTGCATGAATATTCAAAGAAATGTAATCTTCAAAACATGGTAAGCTAGCATCTGCGTTGTAGCCTATACTGGCCAGACCACATCTGGAACACTGTGATTGATTTGGTGCACTCATTTTAAGAGAGACAATAATCAACTAGAGAATGCCCAAGAAATATAGCCAGCAGGATAAAATAAACTAGAAACTTAACCTGATAAAAGTTAAAAGAGCCATGTGTAGTGAGCCCAGAGAAGAGAAAACTAAAAGAGAAATACCAATTAGCTTTAAATACTTGGAGTAGCAAATGCTTTGAGGAATGTATTTATTGTTTTGTTGTTTCATTTTGTTTTTTGAACGGGCTTCGTAGTTAAAACCAAGAAACACTGTGACAAACAGACGTAAAGAGGTTTCCTTAGCGCAGAACTTCAGAGCCTTTCATTGTAAATCCCAAAAAGGATGAAAATACAAGGTACCATCCTCAAACTTATTTGATCATTATATGTACTTGTAAAGGACGGGGTTCTCCTGAACACACTTTGGGAAATGAAGTGATGGACACCAGTCCTAATCTCTCTGCTGAAGTTCCCAGTATTGCCAAGGGGGTCATCATGTTTGTAGCATAGTAACTAGGATTAGAAAGGAATAAATAGAGAACTATGTACTGCTTTCCCTAGTCAGCATGCAGCCCAACTCCCTCTTCTGGAAAGAGTAGGGACATCCATTTTACACTCTAAATACTCTTGAGTGTAAGTGAAAGAAAAAGAATCCAGCGTAATCCAGGTAAAATCCAGCTGCCTTAAGTAAGGAAAAGCCATAATACTTCAGTAGCAGTAAGCAGAGCTTCTATTCACGCAAAAAAGTGGCTATACCACAACTGATGAATCATGTCAAACATTCTACATTCAGACACCTGCCAATCCATAAATTGAAGGGTAACATAAAATTGAGGTTGTATAACACGTTTATATTTTGTTATATTTAACAGAGGCAGATTGCCTTTCATAAGGACTGTTTGACCATTTCGGTATGAACATGATGCTTATAATTTATTTTACTACTGTTTGGAAGAGGGAAATATTAGAAATGTAAGTTCATGTGTCCCAAAGTGAAAATGCATGCAATCTAATTCATTTAAACACACAGAAGTTGAATCATACATTGACTAAGTGTAAAGACATCAAAGTTTAAATTTCTACTTTCACCTTATTGGTTGAATCTCCTTCTGAGGCTGCTTTTGATGCATTTAATGGGCACCAAAAAATAGCATCTAAAGAGTAAACATCATTCCTGCCTTAGTTCTTACATGTAGCTACAATTTGTTAGTAGCACATTAGCAGATTAAGGGGAACAGTTCTGATTCCCATCAGGTATAATAATGAAATCATCTGGTGAAGAAGAGAGGTCATATGTGTCTATTCAGAAAAATATGGCTTTTTGTTTTTTAATGTTAAAAATCTCAAATTATAGATGTAATATCCTATTCTCTCAGCAAATGCAAATAGTAAATTACTTGTCTTTTTGATAAGGAACACCTAATTACATTCTATTTCATTCTATTTAGTTACATGCAAATGGCTGACTATGAGAGTTTTATGTTAATCTTCGATTTATGAAATCCGTATAGCCTTAGTTGAACCAGATAAAATACACAATGTCAAAGCAAGTACTTCGGCTTAGAGCCATTTATAAAGCAGCACTGATTTCTTAGTGTAAATCTGTAATAATATGGCTATACACTAGATACATTTATAAAAATCAATAAATAGAAAGACAAAGACATGCCATGTTCCTTTGTGACTCTTGTAATTCTAGGGACTTTTCAATTAAAATCTGCAAAGGATGTTTTTTATTCTTGATAAGCCATTTGGAAAAAATATCATAGAAAAATTTTTAGAAAGAAGAATATTAAAGAG